CAGGCCTTCCGCAGGGCACAAAATTGGGGCCTTGGCAATTTTTGATAATGATTAACGATCTCAAGTTACCAAATAATGAAATGTGGAAATTCGTGGACGATACCACTGTTAGTGAAGTAATTGCGAAAGATCAAACAAGTAACTTACAAAACCAAATGGACACATTAGCGAACAACATCTCGCGTGATAAGTTCCAGTTAAATGAAACCAAATGTAAAGAGATGCGAATTTGTTTTGGATCTAATACCAATGACCTTCAACCAATTACCATCAATAACATTACACTGGATATTGTCCAACACGCGAAAATTTTGGGATTGGTTATAGCCAGTAACCTTAAGTGGAACATCCACGTAAATGAAATAATTAAGAAATGCCGTAAACGCCTTTATTATCTTATTCAACTAAAACGAGCAAATATCGAAGTCAAGGAATTGCTCTAATTTTACAAAACTTATATAAGACCTGTCTTGGAGTATGCTTGCCCAGTGTTCCACAATAGTCTGACATTGTATCTGTCAGATGACCTAGAGTCAGTCCAAAAGCGAGCATTAAAAATAATCCTGCCTCATCAAGAATATGAAAACGCTCTGCAGTTTACTAATTTGCAACGTCTTAGCGAAAGGAGGAATGATATAACAACAGCGTTGTTTCAGAAGATAGTAGCCGATTCCTCACATAAGCTTCATGACCTTTTGCCTCCTCGTTTAGAACGTTCAACTATGGAACTTAGGACTCAATCTTCATTTAATACTAACTTTAATACCAAACATTTTAGAAATAGTTTTATAACTTATATCTCTTTGAAGATGTAATTTAGTTACTTTATTTATATATGTATTATATGTAATCTTTAACGTATTTCAGCAATATGGCTGCCAGTTTTAAGAAATAAATCATCTATCTATCTATCTATCTATATGCATAGGCTCGGGGTTAGCAAACGCCGTCTTTATCTTGCGCTCTTCTTCTTGGAGCGCTTCCAGGAAATGCTTGGCCTCGTCGGGCCCTCGGTAGAGCTGCGGCGGCTGAGTTTCCCAATCCGAACGAACAACTATGAATGAGTAGCCGCATGTCTCGTGTCAGGAAGTTTGCTGGGTGCCGCTCTTTTTTTGGGTTAAGCGCGAGGCCCTCGGTCTTACGAACCAGGCTCTCGAAGTCTGCGTAGATCATGAAGGGCGCTTTGAGCTGCTTGTGGTAGTTCTCAAAGCGGATTTTGTCATTTGTTCCGGGGGTTGGCATTCTGATGGCAACCGCGGCCTGGTTGATGCCTCGACATTCAGGCTTATGCTCTTCCAACAAATCCTGCCTGGCGAAGCCTTGAAGGCAACGCTCACAGAAGTGCAGCTGATGGTGGCCACTCTGGTTGAGAAGGCGCTTGAAGTTCTTGATCCATGTGTAGTGGTGTTTCTCAGGATTTTTCGAATCCGAGACGAGGAAGAGGTTCACAGTCTTGCGAGCTCTTTCTACTTTGCTTAGACTGCAAAGAACGACGCCGCCTTCCCACCCGTACACGTTGATAGCAAGGTCGTTCTTAGGCTCTACTCATTCGAGCTGGGAGATTGGTGTGGGTGCGCTTTCGCGGTTTTGGGATAGGTGGAGTGACATTTCTTGGCGTGGGTGTCGGGTCAGCGAGGTGTTGAAGAGCCTTAAGAGAGGCGTTCAGCGCGTGTCCGCTGATTACTCTTTGGTCATATAGTTGTAGAAGTTTCTCGACAGTATTCATCTCTAGTGTTGCAAATTTTAGTGCTATATCTTACGCGAGATAATTCTCTAAATCGAAATTAATTCGGCGTGTACTCGAGGAAATCTCTTTCTTGCTTGTTTCTGTTTATAAACGAGCTTATGATGCACCCTATCGGCACCGCAGGCTTGACAAAGGTTAGTTTCTGCCTGTGTTCCGACGCCACACTTACGACATGGTTGTGGAAGTCGCCCGCCTTCCCTTAATCGCTTCATATGAAGTCCACAGTATTCATCTATGGAGCTTCGCCCACATGTGATGAGCTTTCCGGGTAGAAACCACGCACACTTGTTCTTGCCCTGCCTCATGGCTGTCGAACGTTTGGATTACTCTATGACAGTATATCTCTCTCAATAATAGACCTCGACGGCCGGCCTGGCAGGCGCGGGGGGGGTGGGCCAGCCGTCTTTGGCTCCTGCCGTTGTCCTGGGTTTGACCTTCGCTGTAATTATGCTAACATAATTACAAGAAGTACGTAAGCGAGCTAGGGCTGGGGCGCTTAGATTTGTGTATACTCCTTCTCAAACTGTGAGGTGCGCTAGAAACGACGCTTTCTCAAGGTGAAGTTCGCCAGCGGCAACGCTTTCTCAAGGTGAAGTGCGCCAGCGGCAACGCTCTGTATACTACTGTAACAGCAAAACTGGACTCTGAACAGCAATCGAGTTACGTTTTGCAGGATAATCGGATTATATTAGGCAAATCTGAAAGGCGTAATAATACGATGATTTATAAAATCTGTCACTTAAATGCGAATTTTGAGTACGTCAACAAGTGCATTTCATGTGATTTTTTTTTAGTGTTTTTGGTTAAAGGGCTTATATTACGATTTTTAGCACCCCTTTTTTATGAGCTTAATTGAAAATTTGGATTATTTGAAGACCTATGACATGTCCTTGGACTTAAACAGATAAATATAAGTTCCTTAATTTTGCCTACAAAGTCGGGTAGTATTTTCGAATTTTTTACGACGCCATATTGATACTTGTGACGTAGATAGTTGAGCACGTCTGTTTCCGTCAATATAATATTATATTATAGGAGGTGATTTTGTTGTCGTTTTTCATGTCTTAAAAACAAATAATGACAGTATTTTCAATAAAATATTAAAAAACAACTTTTCCAGAAAGTATGGCCTCAAATCAGTGCTCAGATAATTCGAATTCGATGTCTGAATGCGTATTTGATTCGAGCTCGGAATCCATGGGTTATGTCGAGCATTTAAACGACTTCGCATATGACCATGAACCGCTAGCAGGAGATGGTGATGAAATGCACACTCCAGATGATCCCGATGGAATTCTCCCTGCGACATTAGAACAACAAAGTGATGGCGTAATTCCACTCGGTGAATGGTAAGTTGTTGTTTTCTCCTGTTTGTAATATACATAAAGTTACTTTATAAACCACAATGCTCCCACGTTTCAGGTGTAATTGTCAATGCTGTCATACCGATTTGTTAGAAGGCGCATTAGAGTACAGATGCTGTAAGGAAATAGGACCAGCTTTGCAGAAAATGACATTCGATGGCAGCATTGAGATAATATCATGAATAACACAGTATGCCAAATTTGGGCCTTTAGTTCATGAGGCTGTCCTTGAAAACGTCGGGCCACTATTGAGAGATAGGAATGGACGTTCTTATTGCCGCAAAGCATCACAATCATTAAATATGTACGATTGTAAATTGTATGAGAAACAATGTTATCATCAACATTGTTTCATCAACAATAATTAGTCCAACCTTTTTATTTACTTCAGGTACTTGAGAGCTGTGGCATACAGATGGTTGATGTGATGGTTTTGTGGGTCTATAGGATGGGAGAATACTCGGCCTTTACCTGCTTGTGTTTACCACTTTATTCGGAAAGCATATCCAAGTGGTAACACAAACGGTTACATACCATTAGAGGGCGATGAAGGAATAGTCTTTTAACTTGTGTACTGAAGACTGTTGACCTTCTTTGCTGAGTTTGGAATGGTCAGGAAATATGCCTAGATGAAAACCAAATAGGAGATACATGGATGCACTATATAAGTTGACATGCAGTTTAATGGTTTGAAACAAGAGTAAACAATAAAAACAAATTGGTGCAACTACTGAGAGGTTAAGCTGAAAGAATTAAATGTAAGAAAATCTTTTCTTCAATGTCAGTCTGGGAAAAAGACAAAAGAAAAATATATGGAATTAAATCATAGCATAAATGTAAAATGGAAAATAGCAAGCCGTTCAAATGGCGAATCGTTTGCTTCCCAGTGCATACTTAAACATGCTCAGCTCCATCACTAGTAGATGGTACTTCCTCATTGAGAGAACATGTTTCCTTCAGCGATGGCTTATGGAGAGTATGTCGAATAATCAACAAAACTTATATCGAATTTACATATGACAAAAGAAAATTAACATAAACAAGCGTAAACTTACTTGTCTTCGCTTTCGATCGGTTATTTCGTCCTGTAATGGTTCAGGAATCCCAGCCACGTCAATGGTTGGGATAGCATCTTTCTTCAACCTTCTTTGAGCTTGACTTACGCTCAAATTAAGGTCAAAACAAGAATCTTCAAAATGCGCAGAACACAGACACAAGGTAGAGGAAGCCTCAAAACCCGGTCTATGTTTACGCACAAAATTTACCTATTTTCTATGTCTTTGCGGCTCTGTTTCTTTTTTAGGAAACAGATGCATCGACATTCCATCGGTTTTTGAATCATTGGCGCAACTAATTTGATTAGGTCCGCCAGCAACACAGCGTTTTCCTCCACTAGTAGAATACGCCATGTTGATATATGTGTTCAACTTTCTACGTCACAAGTCATTAGCATACCGATCAAAAAGTTCGCAAAAAAAATGCTGAAAATCGTGACTTTGAACGTCCGTAAAATCACTTTCACCAATCCAATTTCAATTATAATTGAAGATTTAAAATCACTGAAACCAGGTCTTTCAAATTCGCTAATAAAAAAAGGGGGGCTAAAATTCGTAATATAAACACTTTAAAAAATAGACTCAATAAACTGAATAAACTAAGAAAATATATGTTTAACGTCTGAATTTCCTGTGCCACATTGGATACCCCATGGATCCGCCCCTGTATAATACGTATTTACCGACTGGGAGGTCCGTATACGGAAAAAATATTTTCACAAGGTCTGCAACTTAATGTTGAGACTAAAATTTGATACTTTTCAGCAAACTTCGCTTTGTCTGGACAGTAAAATGGAATCTTGGAACGACATCTTTCATCTGAATACACCTTGATTACTCGTTAAACAATTTACATCGCTTTCAAATCAATTTTATACAATTTGCATTTCACTTCGTAAACAAATACATTGCGAAAAAATATGTTGAGACTAAAATTGGATTTTCTACAAACTTTGCTTCGTCTGGATAGTAAAATTCACTCTGGCTATGATAAATATCATTTTAAGACATTCTGCCTACTCGTTCGACAATTTACATCGCTCAAGTTTGTATCCAATGGAGCATAGGCATTCGTAGGAGCCTGGGATATTTATGCATGAGTGATCTTTGCCACAAGGAGAAGACTGACATTCGCCGATATCTAATGTTTCACAATAAAGTTGTTTGAAAATATGTACCATAAATTAAGCAATTTTATGTCTAATAAAAAGATGTGTAATAAATAAATATAAAATTTTTGTTTAATTTTTTACGTTTGAATATTTCTTAATTGATTTTACGAGAATGTAAAAACATAATTGTCCTAAAATTATAATACATGTATTTGATATGAACAAATCAACATCTAAAACGTCAAATAAATTCTGTTACAAATGAGAGTATAGTGAGATCTGTGATTTTCAGGACTGTATTGCATTAATCAATTAAATTCACATAAAATGCTTACTTTAAACAAGCTTAAGTCAGTTTTAATGTAACATAAACAACTAATTGTTATTTATTCACTTAATCAGCAGAGAATTTCGAGAAACGCCCTTCTTGAGTTAGCTAATAGTTTGTGCATTTGAACACAAGACCTTGTCAAGCATTTCCCATATTTTAATAGTTCAAGCAGTTTTCAAAGAATTTTCATGAAGTCACGTAAGCTTGCAACATAAGTTGAAAGATCTAGAAAGACCAACTTACCGGTACATTTCTTTTTGGATTTGTCAAGTTTGTATCCAAAGGAGCATAGGCATTCGTAGGAGCCTGGGATATTTATGCATGAATGATCTTTGCCACAAGGAGAAGACTGACATTCGCCGATATCTAATGTTTCACAATAAAGTTGTTTGAAAATATGTACCATAAATTAAGCAATTTTATTTTATGTCTAATTTAAAGATGTGTAATAAATAAATATGTAATTTTTTGTTTAATTTATTACTTTTGAATATTTCTTAATTGATTTTACGAGAATGTAAAAACATAATTGTTCTAAAATTTTCAAAAAATTTTCATGAAGTCACGTTACCTTGCAACATAAGTTAAAAGATCTAAAATGACCAACTTACTGATATAAATCAAACCTAGTTCTTACATAGCTTATAGGACTATGAATTATGAAGTGTAACTTGTACCTACGACGGCTGCTATTTTGAATTATTTTCATCATAAATAAAAAACCCGAAAAACTACTTAGCCATTTAAAGCAATGAGTTTAGCTTTTGAAAAATTCACACAACAGGGGCATATTAATTATCTTATCCTGTCGTTGCAAGTTTGGGAAATTTTGAGTTTGTGAATTCAGGATGTTGGATTATCTTTGCAAAAGAAAATGCATCGACTAACAAAATTATATGAAATTAAAGCATATCATCTATACCAAACAAGCTGGATAGTTTACCCGCAATAAATCCTTTAAAAAAATTTTTTACAAGAAATGGAAAAATCATATTTGATCCAAGCATGTCGTCATAGATATGCATATTTTGGTATGAAAAGCATAGGTATTTGGAGACGTTGCATCTTGCCGTAAAATTTTAAAAAAATATTATTCAATTAAGCCTTATTCATTGCTCCATCAAGCAGTGTTCATTTTCAAATTTATTGTTTTCTAAGTAAATCAACACAGAAAAACCAACAAAACAAGACTAAATACAAGCAAGTTAGCTACAACCAGGTCCAAAACTAGAACGTTGATTGGAGGGGGAGGGGGAGGGGTGGGTTTGAATATTCATATATGTGCGAATATTTATGTTTTGTGACCTAATGTGCTCAGCAGTAGGGCGTAACGGACAAAGAAGTTATGAAAATAGGAATGGCTAAGAAGGTATGGCATTTTCATTATTGCCTAAAAGAAGGTCTTTTGAATTTATATAAGTTTGGGGAAGCTTTATCTAAGGTTCCGTTTTTGACACATTTACAGGGGTAAACCTATTACTAAACATAACTCTCAATTATTTTTGATATTTAAGTGACCATTCCCTGCATACCAGTTCTTTATTGAATTGACATCTTTAAGTATGAACCAAGATATACTTGCATTTTTTCAGATTGGCCAAATTGGGTACCACATTAATATTAGTTGAATATGTTAAACTATTTTTGGCGATAAGAGAATTATTTGTCTTTTAGCCATTAACACTTCACCTTGGGCCATTGATTGAATCACTCTTAGTTGCATAAAAAGTTCAGAATTCCCTTTTTGTGTTCAACAATCTGCTACATGGTCGAATGAGTTCACTAGTTCTAACATTTTTTGGCAGGAAAACAATAACTAAAGAATGCACCCATTTTACCACAAAATAGTACATTTATGTAAAGTTCCTAATGTATTGATAATTATAGAAGCTACTCACAGTTTAAATTACGTCTCTCACGTTGACAGATGAAGTTAAAGTGATGCCCACATCTAATGTCCATCCACTTGGATTTATAAATTGAAACGCAATCCTGTAAACCGCCATAATTATTAGGTTTTCCCGGAAACCATGATGTGAAACTGGGCTTGCCATTTTGAACTGTGTAAAACTGATTGTCGCTTTTATTGCGATACAAACCAATAAAATGATCTTTAGTGCGTTTTCTCAAAATGATTTCGGAAATGACATTATTCTCAGCATTATTTTTTGGAACAGCAAGATCTCCTCCCATCTGTTGACAAAGTTTTCTTGCTTTATTCCATGTTGCTGCTTTTGCACTGAAGAAATAACAAGATGATTCTAAATGCAACCAATCAGAAGGACAGCTTTCTAGACAAATGAAAAAATAAATAAGATAACAATAACAAGTAATTGTTTTCAGAATGATTTGTACGAATAGAATAGAATATTTAATATACACTTTTTAACTGTTAAAGCTGATTAAAAATGCTTAAACAGGCAGGATTGTGTTTTGCAGACAGATGTTGTTTAAAACAAGTCTTTCAATACCTAAAGGGTTTTTAAGGAATGAGGAGGGTCTTTCAGCGGGTTTTGTAGAGTAGCCACATGTTGCAGAGAAAAGTATAATAGAATACAATTCTTAAAAAAATTGTATAAAAATTGTAAAAGAAATAAAAGAAATTGATTGTGAAGCTTATGTAGTCCGGCTAACACTTAAAATTTTAATCATAAGGGGAAACCTTTGTGTTTAAATGGATGGTTATAATAATCGTGCACCAAAAATGTGCATGAACTTGAGTTAAGCTGTCAAATATAGCTCATTTTATGCCCATTTCAAATAACATTCCTAATTTTCCAGATTAAAGTCAAATTCATTGTAATGTGTGCTTACATGAAATTTTTTTATGTCTGAATAAACAATTGCAGTCTAACTCTAATAGCGTTAAATTGAATAATAAGAAAGTCATTTAAAATTTTATTAAACCCAGTAGAAATTTAATGCCATCAACTAAAAAACGTTATTACACATTATTTACATACATTTTTTTACCTTATTTATCGTACCTCTTAAAAATATTGCTTATTTAGGTTTTTAAAGGAAGTGAATGCTTAACAGTAAAACCTATATTTCTTACATCGAAAGTTAACAAGATATGTATGGATGAACATTATCAGTGCATACAACCCATACTAAGCGGCGGATGACTAATTGCGTGGCCTGTAATCTTAGAAAAATTTGTGGGACTTTAAGTGATATAACTTTTGAGGAGGTTTCCGTTTCTTGTGCTCCTTTGCTTCAGTTTTGTTACTCATAATGTAAAAATTATAGAATAAATTAAAATTTCGAACGAGATAAAGTTACTACTTTATCAGTTCTATACATAGAGCATTATAATAGTATATCGTACAGTTTCCAACAGGATATATTATTGAAATTTTGATCATTTATCTCATCTAGAATGGCAAAGAGTAAAAACTATGTTTAAAGAGAACAGGACTTTTAAAAACGCGGGAATGTAAGCTTCAGCCTACATAGCCTACTGAGTAATCGGACAACGGCCATATTTGTCTGTTCTTGGAATAAGTTCATAAAGCTACAATCCATTGGTTGAAGACATTTGATGTAATATTATTGAGGTGCACTCCTTCTAGGAGGTCTGGAAGCATGTCTGTCAAAATGCTTTTTAAAGATTGGGTTTACAGAATTCTTAGTTTACGAAAGCCAACCAATAAAAAACTCAAGACTGTCTAATATGGTGTATCTAGTTTAGCAGAGCCATAGCTAGATTACTAACTTCAGGAGGAATGTTAAACCTAACCTTAACCCTTACCCTAACCTTAACCCTTCCCCCTCCTTAATGTAGAGAAAATCAAAATGTGTTAATTGTTAAAATCAAAGCGTTGCAGCTGGCGAACTTCACCTTGAGAAAGCGTCGTTTCTAGCGCACCTCACAGTTTGAGAAGGAGTATACACAAATCTAAGCGCCCCAGCCTTAGCTCACTTACGTACTTCTTGTAAATATGCTAGCATAATTACAGCGAAGGTCAAACCCAGGTTAACGGTAGGAGCCAAAGACGCCCGGCCAACCTTTCGCTCCCGCGATTTGAATCCAAAAGAGTACGTATGAAAATACATGAGCAAAAATAAAGAAGAGAAAGCGAGAAAAAATTGAATAATATAATAATAAGACAAAGAGAAGAACATCTTAAATTACAAACCAGGCTGCTAATACAAACAGGTACGATACAATTGGAAGAAGAATATTTATGTATTATATAGAATCGAGATGGACACTTTTAGAGAGATTCTGCAACTATATAAACAGGGTGTTGCAAGTGGAAGAGCTCTAAACTCATTCCTTGAAGCTTTTCAACCACTAGCATCTACATCAAGAAAACGTACGAATACAGCTCCACCTGAACCTCCTTGGTACCCTGTAAGTGCAGACCTATTAAGCTTAATGACGTAATAGAAAGTAAACTGCCTGTTATAACAAATTCTGTAGGTAAGGAAGCTACGTATGGAAATATGAGCGACCCAGCGTTAATACGCTATTACGCACTTCAGTTTCTAAGTGCAATTCCTCCAAAAACTAAAACTCAGACGCCTCCGGCGGCCGGTTCACTCCCTTTGCCAAACGTGAAGTGTTCTTATTCAGTTCTAGATAATGAAGGAGACCTTCGGAATCATCTAGCGGTTCGTGTAGCAAATCTTCATCAAACAACCGTTGAATATTCGGGTATTATACTTTCTATCGTGAGTGTGATAATTACTCTAGCAGTTCCCATCTGTTGAACAACTAATGTTGCATCAGTAGGTAAGTCTACAGCTATAAAATCGCTATAGCTAAATTCAGAGTTGATATCACCAACACGATGTGTTTTTGTTTCACTTAAGACAAGTATTTTGCTAGGAGTTTGAAGTACTCATAACGTTCCTGCACTTGTAAAACATTTTCCACTTAATGATATTCGGTATAATCCAGCGGTTTCGATGGTGATTGTAGAAGAATCTTCTTCACCTTTTTCACACATCGCGACATTGGTCCAATCTGAACCTCTTTTTCCAGTGACTGAAGTACCAACTTGAGTGTACACAACTACTGGAATTTCCAGTCGCTTTTTGTGTTTTTCAAGACTTCTATGATGTTTTACACGACGGGCGTGGTAGTTTTTTACCGGACTAAGCAAAGATTTGAGAGTTTCACGCGTAGGTTTATCTACGTCTGAATAGTTCCAAGAAGATATGACTATATTTTCAGCCTAGAATTGTCTTCTAGTTTGAATTTTTCAACATTTTTCTCTCTATTTTGTCGTAAGTATACTTCTACGGCTCGGCGAAAGAGATCGTTTGTTGATTCAAATTCATGAACCGAAGTTTCAGCTGCGTTAGACATTTTAATGTTTGTGTGACAAGACACAACTGAAGTGATAAACACTATAAATATAAAGTGAAAATTTATTGTTTTAGAATTAAGAATACTCTAAATAGTTAACCTCATATCTTCGCGTCCAGTTAATGGGTATTGTACTAACATATGATATCAATTTGTTAGTGTTATCATGTACGAAACTAACATAAGCCCCCCAACTTTGTTCAAACACAGTAGATCTAATGTTGAACCACTCGTTTTGAGACCGTTCAAACCAAATGTTTAATAATGCTATTTTATTATTTTCGAGTGTTTTTCCAGTAGGAAACATTACTAAAGTTACATTTACTCCGCTCATATCTGGGGGGTAAAATCCATTAGGAGAGTTCAAAACAGGTTAATCTCCTTGGTCTCCTTCAAGCCAATCAGATCCTGCCTGTCCTTGAGGTCCTTGACGTTCTGAAGGCCCCTGAGGCCCTGTGGCTCCAGTATCTCCTTTAGGCCCTTGAGCCCCTTGAGGTCACGCGGGCCCTGCAGACCCCGGATCTCCTCTAGGAACTGTTAGACGTCTAATGCCTTGTTGCCCTTGAGGTCCTTGAGGTCCCTGAGTTCCTTGAGGTCGTTAAGGCCCTTGAGCTCCTGTGGCCAAGGGCGCACCATCACTTCCATTGGTCCCATCAGTTCTGTCATCTCCTCTAGGACCCTCATCACCTTTCCCTCCTTTTGGTCCTCGAAGACCCATATCTCCTTGAGCCCTTTTTAGCTCCTGTATCACCTTTTTTCTCCCTTTGGTCCTCTAGGACCCGTATCTCCTTGAGCCCACTCAGCTCCTGTGTCACCTTTATCTCTCTTAACTCCTCTTGGTCCTCTAGGTCCTGGTGGTCCTGCTTTTTCAGATCCATAACCGTCATCAGTTCCACCGATTACTAATGTTGCCATTAGTTTGATGCGACGGTTAGTTTGATGCGATGTTTAGTTTGATGCGATGTTTAGTTTGATGCGACGTTTATATACTTACTTTATATAATAGAAAATGTTTTTTATTAATTACTAGATTTATATTTAACTGCGAGAGAAATCTAGGACGAGCCTCCAGCCAGATCCGTGATTTATTTAAATGCTTGAGCTTCACATTCACGGCGTGCGCTTTCAGCAGCGGCGGCAACAGCTTCTTCTTTTTCACGCTCTAAGTTCTTATTTGTCTTTTTCATCTCTTTGAGTAGAGAAGCTACATCGGCAGCCTGTTTCTTACGCATCGGAGCATCGAGTTCATCTTGAATAACGCGTTTACGCTCGTTAAAACGCCGCATTTGATCTAGAACCTGTTCAAACTCTTCATGTGAAACTCCGCTGCCACTGAGAGCACGTGACGTACTATCACCAACAGTCATCAAAATCGTCGCAGCAGCTTGGGCTATGCGGTCGTGCTGTTTAGCCTTTTTATCAAGCGTTTTACAAAGAACACGCCCAACACCTGAGATCAACCCGCCAGCGACAGCAAGAGCTTCAAGAGCGGCCCCAGCCGGAGCGCCCACACCAGATAAAGTGAGAACAATACCTCCAGTTCCTGTCACGACTGTAAAGGAACTCGATGCAGCGGATAAGGTGTCGAGTGTCCAATTAATGCGCGTGTATTTCTTACGCAGCTTATGACGAGCGTCACGCTCTTGGCGGAGCTCTGCCTCAATGTTTAAAATGCGAACAAGGCGAAAGTTGCTCGTTTTGATAGATGAACGGGTGAAAGAACGTCTTCTACTCCTTGGTATTCATATTCACGTTTTAAACCAGGATATATCCGTGGTACTGGCCTAGGAACGTCCACTGGCTCGACTGGAGGTGCGCTTGCAGTTTCCATTTTCTGGCAGGATTATATATAGATGCAGAAAAAATTGGTCTGTTAGTCTGATGTGTTATAATTAGTCTGATGTGATATGATATAATATGGCACTCATAAATTTCGACACACGCACCGCTAAAAAATGACGTCCCCAAGTACATTCATCGAAATACCGGCTGTATTGTGATTATGAGAGTTCTTCACCAGCGTGACGTGAGAGAAATTGAAGCTCACCACGCTGATGGTATTACAAAAGAGCAGCTAGCGGCGGCTTACCATGAAGCCACTGAAAAGAAGTACGGCTACTTTGTAATCGATCGTAATGCAGAGGAGGTTCCTTTTCGCTATCGGAAGCGTTTTTACGGAATTCTGGTAGCCCCGAAGTGGTAATCCATTCTTTGAAGACATCATTAGACTTATTCTTGTTGGCTCTTTTATATTTTGGAAGATGAGGAGTAACCGCCTGCTTTATAGCTTCGATGGTTTCAGCAGGCCAACACGAGGCGTCGTATTTTTGACAAATCGGAACGAAATTTGCTATGAAGGAGGGGTAATTTAAAGACTTTCCAGTAGACCAAGACATATCAGCCGCCATACTGCTAACATGGTACCATTGAATTTCGTTGAATGGAATTTTGTGTTTAGAGCAGATTTTATACGTATACGTTCTTACCTTATTAAAATGAGAGTCAAATGACTTCTCGCAAGGACCTATAGACGATTTTTCTGTATCACGTGACTCTTCATCCGATTCCACTGTATCACTTGAAACAGAGACTGGCAGGGTAAAATACAGTTTATTATCTTGAGATTGTGAATCAATACATGCTAGCACCGACTGTATTTCAGGTAGATTTTAATTTTTCATTACACCATATGGGTCGTCCATTTTTTTGTCCTATTATATAGTAAGATAAAAAAACATTAATCTATCTTCATCTATCTTGAGATTGAATTTCAAGTATGTTCAGGTCAGTTGCATCTATGGAAGAGCGCGAAAAATTAGTCCAAGAGTTTAAGAAACTGCGCGGAGCACAAGCGGCACCAAGTCGATTTCAAAGTGGCTCGACAGCACGAAGGAAAATGCTTTGAAAGGGTGTCTGAACCAATTGTTAATGCTGAAAAATCTGTAGCAGAAGCTTTCAACAAAAAACAAGACAAAGAAATTGAAGGGTTGCAACAAGTCACTCAAGCGGTTGAGGACATTCAACAGCAGCTTGCCCAGCGGCTAGATGATCTAGTCCTTTTAACAAAAGACAAACCATCTTGGAAGGCTATAGAGAATTCAAATTTGCTTGATCGGTTGGAGGCTGGTGAGTATATAAACGACATAGATTTTGAAAATCTTGGAAA